TGTCTAAATGGCTAGAAAATTCTAGGTTTTTCAAAGAAATCTGCCCACGGTGAGTGGCCGACTAACCTTTTCGTTTGTTTTGATTGGGGGCTCCATGGACAGAGCGGGGGAGAGGGACTGCTTGATCGCCAGTCTTGAGGTAGTGGAAGTCTCATATCCTTTTTTTTTCTTTGGTTTAAGCTTATCCATCATTTCCTGTGCGCAGTTTCACATAACGCGGCATAGCTCTGTTTTCTAGACTTTTAGTAGTCCCATGGTGTCTAGAGCTCCTGCTCTAGCGTCCTTTGCCCTTCATAGGGATAAAAGTGCGCGTGCCTAAATGCCAAGCGCAGTGATAGACGTTAAATAATATCATCATCATCATCTACCAAGTAGATACTGGGTAGCTTGAACACCTGTCCCATCTGAGACAGGAGAAAGCTGGTTCGAATCCAGTCAGACCCACACACCACTCTCTCTCGCGATGATATTGTACTCGTGGAATGATGAAAGTACACTCGGATAGCCACAGGTTTTTCACGCTTTTCCCTGTGGTGGGTATGCACGGAAGAGGTTATACGCCGTAAGGGTTAACCTCGAGTGGTATCTGCAAATGAAATCTGAGTGTGAGTGTTCTAATCGTCAAATTTAGTCATCCTACTCAAAGTACATATCTTCCGATAAAAACCTGCACGGGCCTCAAGGCGCCAAATCAGGTAAAATGAACTATATATATATACTCGTCACGTCACTTAACCACACACGCATTAATGAGGAAAGTCATGATGGAGACAGGACGTGTGCAAAGTAGGAAGAAAGGGGACGATACACCGAGGGATTTACACAAATCCCCAATGACAAAAACAACCCAAGGTTACGATATGAAGGTTGAAGGCTAGAGCAACAATGAAATCTTGGACGGCATTTATATTTCGGAGTCAATGAGGATGACAAGGGCTCGGGCGCATAGTGGCCGAGGTTGAGGAGGAAATTGCGCTTCGGCGCGCCAAAAGGGGGTTCTCTAGACAGTTGGGCTTGACATGATTCAACACATAGGTGAAGACTTAGGTGGTCCGGTCATTAAAGTACGACGAGGCTTATCTGTACTTTACGGTAGTTAACCTGATCCGGCCCAACCCCATACGTGCTTAAGCTCCAATAGGAGTGCAACAGTAGTCATGTAACCTAGCACGTTAATGAACAAAACAAAACAAAAAAACAATGGGCTTTGTTATGGGTGTATATAATGTACATATATATCAGTCCTATCTACAAGACTTAGACCATCATTGAATTTTTATCTCTCAGCTAGTCTCACATTCTCAATGTCCGATTATCTCTTTCTGCTCATTCGCTGTTATCCCTAGCTTATATACTATTCTATATCTGCTCAAAAATTAGTCATAACAATTCTCGAGAAGTCGTCAAACGGAGATATGCTTGAGGTTGCTTCCGACTTCGATTCTGATGCAATTCTTCTTGGCTATCCCAGAAATGCAGAGCATACTAAGCAATTGCACTGGCACCAATGAAAGATGAAGAATTCGTCTTTGCCGGCTACAAAGGCTGCTTGATTATTAGAAAGTGTAATAGATCCTTACCTAGGCTCTTTCTATGCTGCTTTGCATACTACATGGTTTGAGCATTCGCTTTAAACACCCCATATTATACTAGAGCCCCAGAGCCAATATTGGAGATTTGATGATGATAGGTACTGTCACAATTTCCAGATGTTGTAAGACTGACTCCAATACCAGCGCTCTCTGCCAAAATTGAGGCATTAGAGCATGTACATGATATTTGGGTCCAGTTTATCTTTTGAATCAGAGTCTCATGGTTCCCGACTGCTTGTCGTCAGAGCTCCTTTCAATTTTGATGGTGTTTGGCTGAGTTAGTCCCCAAAAAGAATACTTGGAACATTTTAGCTTTCTATCTTATATCAATCCCGACGCTCTACTTTGCTATATTGCATGAAAATCCCGACAGATGCGAGCATTGGCAGCTGTTCACCATTCTAAACGTAGAGGAAAAATATAAATTTTCGGCTAGGAATCTCGCTTATCCTTCGGGGGACTATTCTCAATACCTGTCAGTGGTGTTCCCTACGAACCTCCAACTCTCACTGTAGAGTCTGCAGAGCCGAGATTGAGAAACACCACCTTTTCAACTTTGAGCTGAGTTATCTCCCCTTCCGTCAAAGATATGCTTCCGATAACACATAAGACGACCAAGACGACGATAATGATGCTTGGATTGAGAAAAGATAATGCGGTACCAAAAGCTATAACGATGGTCAGAGAAGCCCTCGTTCTATCACAACATGTGCTACCCACCGGCGGGCGAACAAAAATCTCACGAAAGCAAAGTAAAAGACCCTTCCGCCCTCAAGAAAAGCAGATTTCGACTCGTATACATTATCGTCCCTACTAATCCTAACTTCCGAATCTACTAGCCAGGAGGGCATCTGAAATACATGAGTTACTCGACGACCCCACGTCCGTAACGACTTTTGGTTGCTAGGCTAGGCTCCTTCACGACTGTCACTCTCGACCAAGACTTTTCTGACATCCTTTCAAGACCTTCGATTTGTCCTGCGGCATGAATCAAGGGAGGAGTAAGGAGGAGGCTAGGAAGGTTGAGAGACACTCTTAGGTATACACAGGTCTGCTGCGCCCGGCTTTCCGGCTTCTTCGTCATAGGAGAGCCCCGCACCCAGTGGTTTTTGAGACTTTTCCCTGCAGTTACACGCCCGCAAATGGCCATCGTTTCGTTGGCTGGAGAGGGGAGATAATGACGAGATAACGGCTCCTCTTAGTGTGTACTCGAATGAAGACGGGTTGGGGTTATTACTGCTGGAAAGAGGTCGTAAAGGAGGCAAAGGAGGAAGTACATTACCCGAGGCATAGATACTCCGGGCCTGTAGGCAGAAAGAAACTACATGTCCTTACATGGTTATAGACTTTTTAGGATAATAAATACTCTCTCTCTCTCGCATATCCTTCAAAATGCACCATGTCATTCCTGATACCAAGTCATAGTGAGCTAAATCAAAATTTCTAATGTCCATGTTAAAAAGGAAGTAATAACATTCAGTCTTGGCACAATGCAAGGGACGTTTGCTGCGTGGAATCAACTCGATGGTTTGATTGGCCATGACCAGCGGACGAAATAATCTTCTCCAAAGGTTATGCATTATCGGACGATCAAAAACAATATGAAATGATTCGTCTGTAGGAATTCAACAATTCGGAAGATTAATTGTGGATCCTTGTTAAAAGCCGCCTACTTAAGGGACACAAGCATATACACTCGGATTTCGATTTGCAAAAAGAATGAGCATTAAGACTCCTCAATTGTGCATGAAAGTCGGCGATGTTGGAAATCTTTGAGGGAGGCCTAAGTAATTGAAAGCTGTTTATCAATCGATGTTAATTCGCCGCTTTTACATCGCACTGAACAGTATTTGACAGTCTGTTATTGCGATTTAATCCATATATTTGAAACATACAAAGGGCGCCTTCTTTACTTAAAAATTGTCTCAAACAACAAGTTTAAGTGACTCGCCCAGTCGAGCATCCCAAAGGAACTGGATCAAGTACAGCATCATTCATTGGAGTCGCACACCAGTCTTAACACCCAAGTTCGAAGTCATTTAATCTATCTCAAAATCTGGGGAGCTACACTATCTAAGATTTCCATGGCGTAACATTTAACTCACTGCGGCCTTCAGAATTGTAAACCAAAATGATCGCAGGTCAAGCACCTCGTCCACATATTTAAAGATAAAGATGATAAAGTATCGTCACTGCGATGCTGGTGGATATCGACACCCTCTCTCGCTTCTGCATCCTTTTACGTACTTTTAGCACCTCGCACAAGAACGTGGGTTATACTCGGGCGAACCAAATAAGTAGCCCCTTCCTGATTAGTGATGAATATGGGTCGGAAGAGCTAGTTGGAGTGCCTGACCTAGCTAACGCCCCAATTTCTTTTTATCGTGGGCCCTTAACAACGCCACAGCCAATGCACCTGCAAGGACTCGAATAGTTGACATAATTAAGGTCACGATATTTCAGAAAGATAACCGTCGTTTTAATCTCGCTCAGTACCTAAGAAATTATAATTAGGGCATCACTACGAATACAGTTCGCACAGGCTAGGCTTCTGAACCTTTGTGGACAATATAATCTTATAACCGTTAGAGAGAATGAAAAAATTCTGCTGTACTTTAAGGGTTACGGCGTTCAGCACGCGCAATTGACCTTATCGTGCCTCGGGTTTAGTCCGATCTTAATGATGTGTGAGCTCAAGAAATTTGATTTCCCTAGATTTTGAAGTGTTACGACTACTATAAGCTTTCTAGATTTAGAATGTTAGAGATGCTGACAGGTGTTCATAGTACACAATAAGCCCTCCTGTGGTGAGGAATCAACTCGAGTTATCCAAATCTGTCGTGAGCGGTGTGAATCATATCCGCTATAGAGCCAGCCCGCGAGTGTTCGCAAAACCCCTGTATCCCTGTTCGCTTGAGCGGCCCGTCATAATCGTTGTGGAAAGTCTGCAACTATCCCGTTCATGACGGATCTCCAAACAGCCAATAATTAGATCCCGGTCAGTTGGCATTTACAACCCGTTCCCACCATGGCGAGTGTCTTCTGCTAGCCCGCATACCGCTCGCTTTTACACAGAATAGGATTATCGTCTCCAATCTTTCAAGCTCTGTCAGAATATCTTACCTAGTTTAAGTCTATGTATTCCTGAAAACTTATGACCATCTCATGCGAACGAAATTTTCCCAACATATAAGGCTGTATAGCAACCAAACAAAAAATAACACGAGGAGCTACCTCCTATCTTGATACTGAGCGAACTATTCCAGCTTATGTTGGGCTAATCGATGATTCTCATCTAAGGTAAAATATCGCTAAGATATGTCTTGGCTGAGATTTACAACCGTTCAGTATTACCTGATACTAACTGTGCACCAGTGCCAGCATTTGGCTTTTATACCTGTCAAAGATATGGAACCCGATACTGAAACTGCCCGTCATGAGCTTGCACAACACATGAACCTAGATAATATTGAAGGAAGTGCCGCTTTTTACCCTGAGACGCAAAGCTTGCTAGTTACACCTCCGCAAATGAAAAATAATATATTTGGGGCAACCGAAGCTATTGCAGAGACGCAAGATAAAAACAGTTTTTATAAAAGCCCTAGTTACAACCCCTTGGAATCACAGTTTCAACCCACGGATATACATGAACTCTCATCTAACAGCATGTATGTCTATACGTCATCGGGATCATCTTCTAATATCGGATCACCGCTATCTCCTCAAGGATACCTCAACCCTTTCGGATATAATTTGATGGTTCCTGAGTGGTCGCTACCAGGACAAAATTCTACCGAAAATTTCAGCATCAAACCCGGGTTTTTGTGTCAAGGAAGCAGTGAGCTGAGCTATTTAGCTCAGACCCTGGAGGAGTTTTCACCGAAAGAAAAAACTATAAAATCTACTAACAATATATTTCTAGGTAAGTTAACCGACAGCCATAATTCACTATTTTATCACACTCTTGGCGAGATAAGGCCATAGGGTAAGGGGATTACATTCATATCAGTTAATACTCGGCTTAATTTGCCTCTAATATTGTAAAATTGAATGATTTCTACACAACTTGTACTTGCCTGCCCTTCATTGAACATCGTTTAGTTCCATACTAGTAAACACACGATACAAAAATAAAACAGACATAATAACTTTTTCAACCAAATATATCCTTCAAGTTTTATTTTACTTCAATTTGTGTTGTGCGGTAACTCTTTTGGAGGAAGGCCAAAGCTTGTTTCATATTAAAATAAAGTATCGCTAATGTTTAATCAGAAACAACCTCGACTCAAAATTCACAGTATATCAATGAAAACAAATTAATTTTTCAAGCTGATCCTAATGAGGTAAAACCTGCTGACCTGCAGATATTTTCAACACTCACACACGAAAACAAAATTTACCAACCGGAGAATGGAAAATGCACGTCCCTTGTCAACACTAGCTCTCCTTATCTTTCTTCAGCTTCGCCGTTGTGTCAGGAAATTTCTCCTATAATCCATCATGACCGAGTAAACAAGCTTGGAAACGTTGATCATTCAGTAAAAACAAAATGCACATATCCAGATTGTGGAAAAATCTTTAAGGACCTTAAGGCTCACATGCTGACCCATCAGAATGAACGCCCAGAAAAATGCCCTATCGTGACTTGCGAATACCACGTTAAGGGGTTTGCAAGAAAGTATGACAAAAATCGGCATACTCTAACACATTTTAAGGGCACAATGATATGTGGCTTTTGTCCTGAAACAAAGCCTTCCACCAAAAAGGCCTTTAATCGTGCAGATGTTTTTAAACGACACTTAACATCTGCTCACGCTGTAGAGCAATCCCCTCCCAACTCAAAGAGGAAGGTCTCAAAATCAGAAGTCTCCGATAGACATGGAAAAGGCCTAAAACAACCATCAAAAGCATCCGGAAAATGCTCCACATGTTTAGAAATTTTTGGCAGCGCTCAGGACTTTTATGAGCATCTTGATGATTGTGTACTCCAGACAGTACAGAGACAAGACCCGTCGGAGGTTATTAACATAGCCCGTCTAGCCGAGGTTGAGCATGACCAGGACGTCCAAGATACATTGAGAATGAATGCAGTTATGTCCATACCAAAGTCTGATGGGCTTCAAATCGAAGATTTGTCTAAAAATGAATTCGGACATGTCTATCCTAAAAACTTGGCATCGCAAAAACACCGAACTGCACAAAAGACGTTGGAAAATTCTCGCAAGCTTAAACGGCGACCACACTCTAAATTCTTAGCTGTACAGAATATCAAGAGCAGTAAAAGAGGCAAAGAACTCCCGCTTTCTTGGGCCTGTCCATCTCAAATTAAATCTAAAAAGAGGGTTCTGTGCCTCTTTAATGGGCCTCGACGGTTTTGGAAAGACGAGATTAATCTTGATATTAATCATAAATCTGAGCTAAAATTAGATTCAAATCATAATTTTTTGGGTGGTATTGATGCACAAACATTGCATCGAGCAAATTCTATGCACACTGCTGCTGAAGAAAATCCTGACCTATATCTCTCAGGGGATATAAGTAGCTTATTCTTCATGAAATCAAAACATAGGGAAAGTATGCAGTCCTCTTCTACATGATTTCAACATGCGTGTTTTTGGACATACTCTTATCAGCGAAGCGACAGAGCTTTCAAATGGCTGATTCCGGCTTCTAAATCACGAAGACTTCACTCCCAATGGTACCAAACTCATATCCTTTCTACGACTCCTATCAAGGTCTGTCAAAACTACTAGATCTTCAAGTTTAAAGATCAGTACCCTTGTGATATATACCCTCCTTAAATTAGTTGATCTAAATAATTGGATACAACGGTGCTTAATCCAAATCATTTGGATCGCCCACACATGAAACAACACGGAAAATTCAAACATCACATATCCTCAGTCTATTCGCAGCTGATGTATCTTATCTGCTGTGAATTTAATTATTGAGGTCTCGATATACCTCTTCCCTATACACTTGCAAAAGACTGTGTAGCAAGTCTCACAAAACAATAACGCTGTGACTATATCCAATTCTTGAAATTCTTGTGCTGAGTGGGTTATATTTTCAGAGTTGTTCTGCAGGCTTTAAGCGAATAGATCTATTCGCTTATGGTTAGAAGAAGGTAGAAAAAGTGATGGAATTCAAGATTCTAGATTATCTGAATTCGTAAACGTTCATAGATTTCAAAATTAGATATGGACCGGGGAAATTATAGGCCATCACCATATGCGCGAGATATTTGTTACGCTCTCCCAAGAATTGTCACCTACGATTTAGATTCCGCTTGGCGCTAAGATGCGCATAAACGTTATACGGAGTTATCTGCACTATGTAACACCGGTTAGATGTTTGAATCTTACTTCCCTTTAAAGCCATAGAAGCAAATGACATCTCGACGACATTATTTATATCAGTGTATCTTTCTTTTACATTGGTTCCTCTAGAGAAATGAGGCATCGTACCTCCTTATTCATCCACTCGTACTTAGTAACTAAGGCAATCGCTTTGACCCAGCTTTCTTCATCATAGACACTGATCAAGCCATCGGGTCCGTGCACCTTTATGCAACCGACCTTTTCTCGAAAATGGATAAGTCCTTGGGTAACATGGTGAACAAGACTTGAGAAGTGAGGGCACTGAGATGATGTCAAGATAAATCTCCTCTTAACACATTGATCGTCTCGAAGAATGTTGACATAAAACTTTGGCATAATTTTTATAGATACAAAGGATTGTTCTTTCATGGCATCGCCCCCCTGTATGCGTGTTTCTGCTCGAGACGTATTAGAGTTGATCAGGGTATTTGTCTGATTTGTTGCCTGTTCATTAGTTGTAATCAATTTGGGAGTTAACTGGGGTATTAATTTAGAGTCGACATGGATAGATAAAGAATTAGGGTTTCTAATTTTCTGTGACCCCTTAAGCAGAGACTGGTCATCTGTTATGGAAGGTTCCTGGTTCGATTGAGAAACGCAGTCGAATGGCCGCTTCCGCTTTTTGACATCTCTCAACCGCTTTTCCATTCGTGTTTCATTTGCATATTGACGTTGTCGTTCATTAGTAACCATCCGCCGCAGCAAGGGAATGATGAGTTCTATGATTCTTGTCTTGTTAGCAAACACATAAAATTGAGAAGCCGTAACGATTAGGAACCCACTTATTTTTCGACTCCGGCCATTTGAGTTTTCTCACATCAGCACGTTCTGCTTTTCTTCCAAAACAATGTTCGCCCCAACCTTCATCTTCGAGAAAGTTCTTAGCACATGAGTATAGCTTCAACTTACTTAGGTCGCCAGAAGTCCGGCACTTATTACCAACAGCTTCGCGTCGTTCAGGAAAAGAATCATCTAACATGTATGATTTGGCAGCTCCCTGTAGTTTGAGGAATAACTCAGCAGTCAAATCCAAAGAGATAAATAGCTTCGACATCGGAGCACCTCAATTCCGTTAGAATTATGTTACTTAGGTCAAATTGATGTAATCAACTCACGAGTATACTTTTTAGAAGCTGCTGATGGGCGTCTAAACAGAGCAGCTGCTGAATGGAGACCCGCCAGCTTAGCTTCCGAGAGGATTTCTGGGCTAAAAATGTTCAAAGAGTTGTCATTAGCATCTTTATCAAAAGTGTCATCTTTGGGAGTTTGTTCAGCTTCCTGTGGTCCCCAAATGTCATTTTCTCGCGCAACATAATCGATATCTTCCTCAGTAGTAGACACTCTTTTCCTCTTCGTTCTACGGTTTGGAATTAGCCTTCGGGCTTGAGCTTTTGGTTTTGATAATTCATCGCTTGGACTTTGATGTTTCTTTTCTGGTAGAGTAGACCTGAACGGTTTCTTGCGCGGTCTCAGTCTAGAAATCTCTTCGGCCACTGAAAGTTCTGGACATCTAGGGGATACATAGGAATTGGCACTTGGGGAGTCCAAGTACGTAGGCGACACAAAGGATTCTCCTCTTGAAGTAGCTGAGTTGACGGATATCTCTGAATCAAAATGAGATCCGACATTGTTTTCTCTAGGTTCAGCAGCCGTCTCTTCGACAGTAGGTGAAGCAACCTCTAATATATTTGCGAGAAGTTCATTAAAATCGGTGAAGTTTTTCTCTTGCGATGACTTAGTAGGGTCAATATTGCCTAGAATCCGTAGAAGTGATAATGTATCAGAGGATTCGAAATCGGCGGTTGAGTTTCTTGTGGGGCTTGAGAAGACATTAGCGGCGTCGAGATTGTCAAATTCTTCGCTGCTACGATGAAATGTATTTCTGGATTGGAAAGTGTCATTATCAGCTTTCGGGTTTACCTGTGCTACTCGCGGCGATGCCATGTGGATTAGATTGCCTTTGTTGCATTGACTCAATCGCGATGTGGCTAGCTTCCACGAGCGGCTGATAAGAATTAGAGGTCTTGGCCATATCCGTAAATACATCAACGAACGCCTCTTGTCGACTTTATAATGCTAACAACCACGGACTCGTCATTTCTCTGCTCAGAAATAGTATTCTCGTTTTTATTGCTTGTCATCAGCGGCTTAGTACTCGTTTTACTGCGATATTTTCTCCCTCTCCGGAGAACACCTTTCTATCTTCTTATTCCTATATTTCTTGCACTAGCTCTACCAGCCAGTATCATTCTCCTGGTACCAATCGATCTCGCGTCAAACGCACGAGATCCGGAACTTGGAATTCATAGAGGAATCTTACTTCCTACAGGAATTTTACTAACATCATGGCGCATCCTCTATTGGGAAACCTTTTTTCTTACCTGGTAAGTTTCATCAATGAGAGAAAATTAGATGTTGACTCCTAACAGGTTTATTCTCCCTATTCTTGCAGAGTACGCAGACGCTGGTTACCGTGATATAAAGGCGCGACTATTTTGGTCTCTAAAACGTAGTCTGGGTTATCAGGCTACCCTTTTGGCATCGGGACTCATCCTCATGATATACTTATTCGTACACTCTGGCGTGTCCCCCAACACATTCAAAGCAATATTAATGGCGACTGCATATTTCTGGGGCCTCACATTTGCAATTTATTTAATGGGTCATGGTTTAGTTTCTATCCCACGGAGGTTTTTTCAAAATGCCAACCTCAGGAAAAGTCTTGATCGATTATACATTCACACGGCTCATACGTATGAGAATCTAACTGATGCCATACACCATTTCGAATGTTTAGAAGCCCAAATAGTAGAATTACGCAGGAGAAAATCCAGTCTCGGGTTAGAGCTCCAGGATTGGATTGATGAACTATCTGACGATATTGAAACTCCTAGGGTCATGCCACCCTTTATCTTGCGGCAAAATTCTTCTCCTGATATCTATGTTCCACGTGTTATAACCGAACACTATTTGGCAGATCTCAGTCGGAAAATCTCCCGCGCCCGTCACTCCAAAGCTCGTTACCAACACGAATGGGATAGAACTGAGAAAAAGGCCTGCACCACTCGAAATACGCTAGAAGGTTTCTCTGCGGGCAAAATTCAAACAGGACAACTTTCTACAAGAGATATTTCGACATGGCAAAAATACTCTCTACTTACCCCACGAACACGGTTCTACTTCAGATGCTACTTGCTACCTAATATGAATCGACTTTTAGGTATTCTGTTCTCACTGGCATCTTTTTTCATTGTCTGGTCTGAGCTTATCAAGCCTATTAATCCCCATTTTTCAATCATAGCACTCACTATCATCCATCACCCTAACAACGAGAATGGAGAGATAGGTTTAGCTGGGCAAATAATTGCCGCCGGATGGATCCTGTATATGTGCTTTGCAGCATTAATTTCTCTCACAGAGGTAAAGGTCTGGCGAGGTCGAGCCTTAGTACGTCGAAATACACATGGTGAGAGCGCGATGTGGTACTCATACCAAGTCGCAAAACTTAGTGTACCACTTGCATTTAATTTTCTTACATTTTTGGATCCGGATATTTACAAGAGGACCGTGTTTTATGGGTTCCTGGGAAATCTCATTAACCTCACGCCGTTATCAAGCTGGTTCGACACACTATGGCCAGTTTTTATCCTTTTTCCTGTCTGTGCAACACTCTTCGGCTTGTATGGCAAATTATATGACTGCATAGGATACGGTGATATCATTAACGATGGACAAGAGTCTCATGATTCAAATTTTTCCAGCGTAGATTCTTGGTCCGAGGGGAAGCGCCTGATTGATGAAGCCTGCGGTGTCTCGACCCGAAACCAGGCAAATCGATATTCAGATCAACAAGATAATGTACCCAGCGCATCGAATGTCTATCCCACTCCAACCTTTCCTGTCTATCAGGTAAATGGTCATCATAACATAAACTCTCCGACAATAGCACCGAATCGACAGTTTCAGAATGAAGATCCGGGTAGTGACGAAAATTCCATGAGAGCATTCGGACACCGACTAAGAAATACTGTTGAAACCTTTCAGACCCCAAAATGGTTCCAAAATATTGGTGAAACCGTTAAACTGCCACATTGGATGGGACCCCGTGAACGAGCACCAGAAAGCCATGTGGATCGACTCGATAATTCCCGCTGGCTTGGAGGAAATCAGCAAGGAAGGTTGCGTTTATGAGATTGTTTTTCATAGATGATATGCATAGCGTTTGGAGTTTTTGTTTTTAAGAGCACATAAACGAACAGTTCAAGGTATGTTCGAAGTTTGCCGGCAACTTTAAATTCTCCTAGAATAATTTTTGGTATTGATTGACATTGAAAGCAATGACCTTTGCACACCTAATTGCGGCTGCCATTACATTCAATTATTCCTCCCCTAGTAAGTACTCAATCATCAAAAAAAATTAGTTTCTGTGTCGTCTAGTACGCCCATCAACTAGAAGACAATATAGGTAGATATATATAGTTATAATCCAACTTACGTAGAGATGCTGCTACTTACGAGCCGTCTTTTGACCTGGGATGGTTTACGATGCTGTAAGTGGAAAATATCGATTATTTTGCTAAATCTTTGCAATCTCTCACTCATATATCAAAAGAGCCGTATTGCTCTTGAAATCAATGAAATCAATTAATGTCCGGACAGATTTTGACCCTGCACTACCATCCTTGGGGACGCATTCGTAATTAACAAACTTGAATGGAAGGATACAACTACAGCCTCAATTGCATAGGCCCTGATTCTAAACCCTGGCATGAATTTCTGGGTACCACTGAGAGATCTGCACTGCCTCATGCACGAGTTTACTACGGCTTTGAAGCATGACCATGTGTGCTCTCAAGTTGCCGGCGGCGTCGGCCTACGACAACTAGATTGACTTTCGTTTTGTCCGATAGATATTAGACAACTAGGACTAACGGTAACCGATAGTGTAAGAGAGTGTAAGTTAGTTGTGAGTGCACTAGTTGTAGAACTAAACTGAATCCTGCGCGGAAAGTATTTTCCGTGTTCAGGGAGTGAGTTGAGACCATCAACTTGTGCGTCCGGACGCGCCCATAGCTAGATGGAGAAGCATAGATTTATTAGTTCCTGTACACACTGCGATTCAGGACGTTAGAGAGCGTCGGAGATGAGCATTACACTGATGTTTCAGGGGGGCTTATTAATTATGTAATGATCCGCTATAAAGCCAGGGCGTCAGCGCAATATTAGTCCTCGGGCGAGTATCTCACCTTTTCTGCTTCTAACTAATGCTGGGTATACTGGGATGAAGTGTGGAGAGGCAGGTGGATCAACGTGGTAAGATCAGGTTCATGGGTTCACTCTAAGAAATGGAGCTTCGGTACCTCCGGGTATCTGGAACACGTTAGACTCGGAACTTAACGCATGCACGCCCGTGTGTGTGTGTGTCTTTTTTATTGTACTACTTGAGCCTATTACAATCTAGCACATTGAGCTCCCCACTGACCTAGGCCACAATTTGTATAGTGCTCCTTGCCTCTCATGTTACTCGAAAGACCGTTGATATATTGCCCGTGATGAATAGCCATTCAGCTCAGTATTTACCCATGGAATTCTGCCACCTTTTCCACGAAACCTTCTACCCAAAAAAATAAAATGGCATAAATGGAAACTGTAACGCACGCCCGTAATCTTTGACTAAATAATTCCCTTTAGCTCGTTGTAGCTATTGTATCTAATCGGAAGGGAAAGCTCTCAATATAACAATCAGGCCTACCGATGATTGTCTAAGGTGAAGCCCAGTATTCTTTTGAACGCAGTGTCTCGTGACCCGGGCACACAGCGTACCTAACTTGTTCTTCGGATGCAAATCTAGACTTCCGATGGGACTCAACGTTCTCCGCACCTTTCAGCCCTCATCGCCGACCCATGTGCATCTCTAACGTGCGTTTCTCCTGAGCTCGATACAAGCTCTCTACAGTCAAAGCCCTGTTAAGACGATGTAATCGGGGCCGTGAAAAATATCGTCATACAGAGGATATCTTTGCTCTACAGAAATCTCCTCTTTGGCGGCATTATTAGCACCAATGTAGCAAAAAAACCCTGTTTAAGACGATATTCAGAGGTTGAAGAACGATAATCGTGTTATCGGTAAATGTATGGGAACGAAGTCCGTTCTGGAAAATATCGTCTTAACGGCAATATCGTCTTGACAGGGGTTTGACTGTATTGGGTTCTTGAAGCACGTCTGCAGTTTACCGTCCTAGCAATTTCTTGTCAATTTTGTGAGGATCGGATGAAACTTGGAGCACATGGTACCGATTATGGAGTCACCTATTTGTAGTATACGTGCATCCATTCATTCCAGCAAATACTCGACTTTTGAGTGCAATGAGACAAGGAGGCGCGTAGCAGCCCAACTTGGTTTAGAGCTATGTGCATGTAATTTCCTTGGGGCACAGCAGATATCTGTGGTATGTCTTTGGTGAGGCAAGCAAACGAAAGAAAGACGTATACAATCAATATAGAGTACTATGGGGTATTTTAGTTTGAATATTACCATTTTAAGCTTCGAGTTACATTGCTGACCCTATTAGCGACCGGATGTATGTGAAGAAAGGTATGATTTCCGTCGAAAATGCTGCACTCTACTGATTCTAATCGACTAGATCATTACGTCTTTTGCGCTGTCAATCATTATTAACGTAGACCAAAATAGCTTAGCAATGCATGTCTGAGGTGATCACATCAAGTACAACTCGATTTAGTAGGAAGGAAAAGACATGGAGCCTATGCAGTTACCAGTCATAAATTGGGAGGCAGATAATTATGTTCGACCTTCGATGATCTCACGACAGGGCAAGTGGATAGAGAGGCCTGAGATCGTTCAAAGCAAATCATGATAAGCAATACTACAAAAGTCTCAGGGATGATGCAATGAACCTTGGACCATGGTTGTAAAGAGAGTTTTCCGACAGTAGAAGTGGTCTAAATCTCACCCGGAAATGACGCAAGCAGAGAAGGAGCTGGGATTGACAGAATGCATGATAATTGTACAAAGATAACAAAACAGTGAACTTCCAAACAAGGAGTATCGTTGTGAAATCGAAGACTTGTTAAATACATATATGTAAGGGCTCCTCATGCAAAATTTTGTGAAAATGCATCTAAGATTGTATCGTGCGTTGTTGTATATTCTGACTCTACGGCTGTACAAGACGTGCATGTCCTCTCTGACTTCGAGCCAGGGGCACCTACATCGCATGTGGTATATTGTTTCCTGTGCCTCCTGTAAGAGTGCCCTTAGACAGTAATGTCCCTTACAAGTCCTCAATCGATCATACGGTTACAGGAACATTTTGCATTCCGTTTTCTTCCCTGTTAAACTATGGAAGCGATGGCTATTTATGATTGTATGGTAACCAGCAAATTTGTAAAAAATTACTGCATGTAAGGCTTTTGAATACTATTCTCGGAACTAGTCCCGGGGACATGGTGACATTTCCGAATCATCCTAACACGCTAGTCGGCTAGGCGTGGTAGATTTTTAATAATCATTTAATGTGTATTCAGCGATCGAGCTATGACACATGACTGGTGCTATGTATACATGTGGGATGACTCTTTTGACGTTAAAGACACTCATATTCTGGATTTCATTTGCAGATACCACTATGAGGTATGTTCGCTTACACAAACAGTCGACCCTCCTCCGTAAGTCCCCACCAAAGGGAATTTCGAAACCTCTGGTTATCCATGCATACCAGCGCCGCGAGAAATGCGGTTGTGATTTGCTGGATTTGAACCAGCGATCTACTGTCTCAAGTGGAATATATGTCCAAGCTATCCAGACTCTAATTAGCAGACCGTCCAAGACGATGTACCACCGCACCATCCAGCCATGGCAGTTTTTATAGCGTCGCCCGCACTCTCGCAATCGAAGACTTGGCATGCACAAAGCTCAATTTGTAGAAAGTCCTTGCCAAAATTCGAAATTCCACGCTCGTTGACACTGTATCATCCTCTGCATCATATTGTGAATTTGTCCTGATCTCCCTCACGACCATCTCATAGAACTGTCTCCCAGATTTGTGCGCCACGCTTTGTTTCCTCCGTCGGGCGTAAATATCGGCGTGGGCGTGTATTTGGCGACCGGCTGAGGTCAGAGAATAGTCGATGAAAGGTGTGATCATTGGAATAAAGTTGTACTTGGTCGTACTCGTAGACTTGATGAGACTTAGGCAGGAGTGAAACTTGTTGGGAGCAAAAAAACGCCGTGATGGAGTAATTTGAATCACTGCCCCGTGGGCCAACTTGTTCGGTATTGCGAGATTTGACTGAACTTGGCTCTGGGAGAATATTTCACTCCCAGGTTCGCAGAGGACACCGCATACATGTGTTCAGTCTTGCCCTCCGCTGAATTGTTTCGGGGGACGCCGTAGAGAAGTATTAAGTAATTGCACGATTCCTCAGCTCATTCATTTAGTCATTTAATGATATCTGGTGATAATCTCTTCTTCTAGAGCATTGATTAGGTTAGGGACGGGAACAGATGAATTTTGGATCATCTAAGGGTAGTGTAGAAATGTTTATGTATCCCTGGGGGCCTATTCTCAATACCTGTCAGTGGTGTTCCCTACGAACCTCCAGCTCTCACTGTAGAGTCTACAGAGCCGAGATTGAGAAACACCACCTTTTCAACTTTGAGCTGAGTTATCTCCCCTTCCGTCAAATATATGCTTCCGATAACACATAAGACGACCAAGACTACGATAATGATGCTTGGATTGAGAAAAGATAATGCGGTACCAAAAGCTATAACGATGGTCAGAGAAGCCCTCGTTCTATCACAACATGTGCTACCCACCGGCGGGCGAACAAAAATCTCACGAAAGCAAAGTAAAAGACCCTTCCGCCCTTAAGAAAAGCAGATTTCGACTCGTATACATTATCATCCCTACTAATCCTAACTTCCGAATCTACTAGCCAGGAGGGCATCTGAAATACATGAGTTACTCCACGACCCCACGTCCGTAACGACTTTTGGTTGCTAGGCTAGGCTCCTTCACGACTGTCACTCTCGACCAAGACTTTTCTAACATCCTTTCAAGACCTTCGATTTGTCCTGCGGCATGAATCAAGGGAGGAGTAAGGAGGAGGCTAGGAAGGTTGAGAGACACTCTTAGGTATACACAGGTCTGCTGCGCCCGGCTTTCCGGCTTCTTCGTCATAGGAGAGCCCCGCACCCAGTGGTTTTTGAGACTTTTCCCTGCAGTTACACGCCCGCAAATGGCCATCGTTTCGTTGGCTGGAGAGGGGAGATAATGACGAGATAACGGCTCCTCTTAGTGTGTACTCGAATGAAGACGGGTTGGGGTTATTACTGCTGGAAAGAGGTCGTAAAGGAGGCAAAGGAGGAAGTACATTACCCGAGGCATAGATACTCCGGGCCTGTAGGCAGAAAGAAACTACATGTCCTTACATGGTTATAGACTTTTTAGGACAATAAACACTCACTCATTCATTCATTCATATACCCGTGCACTATACGATGCATCTTGTCTCACCCGCAAGGTTCCTAGAGGTGGAAGTGTTCTGCGGCAGCATAAAGAAATCAGCAACTCTAAAAATCTTTCTAGATACGGGCCAAAGGCCTCAGTATCAGCATAGGGGGGCTAGCGAACAACACTTTTGTTATTTACATCATCAGTATCCTAGACTACTTAAATCTTCCGACACGATGATGTTCAAGGTGGCAACCGAAAGTCGCAATTTGTATTGAAGCACTAATACGTTGTTCAGGAGCTTTGTTAGTGTATTATATATATGGACTTCGTGTAAGTACAACCGTCCTGGTAACTACACTCGGTCTGTAAGCAGGGTTTCTTCCTCCTTAAGCGAAAGCCTGCACGTGAGCGTTGACAGTCCCATTTCTGACATCATCTGTTGTAGGAGTGAGTGAATGATGTTTATTGTACTGCTTGAGTCTATGACTATCTAGCACGATGGGCTTCTTTCTGACCAAGCCACACCTTGTACAGTGCTCCTTGCCTCTTTTGTTACTCGAAAGATCATTATTATACTGCCCGTGATGAGTAGACATTCAGCTAAGTATTTACCCGTGGAATTCAGCCACCTTTTCTACACAACCTTCTACCCAGAAAAAAAAAGTAGCAATGGAAATTATTTGCATGGGAAATAGTCTCAAAAAACTTGCGGCCAAGACACCGGGACCACATGAGGTGCGCATATTCATCTATATCTCCCTTCTTTGTAACAGTCGAGGTCGACTTGATCCAATCCACCATCTCCGTATCGGGTGCTGGGTACGCTCCGAAAACTCATCGGATGGCATTTCCTCCATGATCAAGGGTTGGTGATGAGTAGGACTCCGACCCTACCATCTGATCTGATCGTGATTAGCTTCATGATAATGGTGATAGGGGGGTTGTGTTGAGAGATGAACACGATACAGACCGCGAAAGCGATTGGATATCCTCGTCGAAGTGAGGACTTTGTTACTCAATCTCGGCTCTGCAGACTCTACAGTGAGAGCTGGAGGTTTGTAGGGGACACCACTGACAGGTGTTGAGAATAGTCCCCCTATAGAGGGAATGGATGAGTGCAAATTCCCGCTCCGTTACATGTGACTTATGAGTAACAACTCCCACAAGTCTGTATTCATTCATTTCATTTCATTTAATCATCTTGTCTGGGTCTATAACTATGTAGGACATTCAGGTCCTCTGCCTACAGGCCAATGATACCTATGCCAGTAAGATATAACCTCCTGTGCCTCCCATACAGCTCCCCTCACCAGTCCTCGTTTGATCATAAACTTAAAGGAGCCATTTACCCTTCATTATCTCCCATCTCCAGCCAACGAAACTATAGCCATCTGCGGATATATGTAACGGCTTGTGAGCCGACTGTTGTGTGGCACGTGATTGTATTCAAGTGCTTCTATAATTCTACAGTAGTCTAGCTTTATTTCAGATCAGTTCAGCTGTGACTGGAATATTCTAGTAATTGGTAGCAAGACTGGGAACTACTATAACTGGAATATACGAGAAGCAGATATCAGCCAAGAACGAGTATTCTAGAGATCTTCATAAATGTATAAATAGTTGAAGTAATACTCTAGTAGTTAGCCCTAGAGAAAAATATAAACTACCTTCGTATATCTGATTGCTCCAGCATCGACACTCGAACCGTGTCAATGTGTGGTAGCCGGGAAAAATCGCAAAAACTATAGGGTGCGGAGCGTTTCTAATACCGACATTAGGACTAAGTCCGAAGATATAGTGATCCTTCTGATGCGTTCGAAGAGGCCGGCCTGCTGGGCGCTGCAGACTTGTGGGTTCCTCGGGAAATTCACCCTCTGCCTTTCTAGCCTCCTTGCTTCTCTTTCCCGAAGAACGTGCTGAAATGTTAGAAAAGCCTTTATAGAGTGTGAATGCTGTATGGTAGATTAGCCCGACTTCCTTTGTGCCGCACAGGGCTATGGAAAGTGCTGTTGAGTCATTGACAATAGAAGCCCTCCTAACTATTTAGCCAAAATCTCGTTCTTGGCGCCCACAAACATTCCAAAGTCGAGATTTCAAAAATATCAGACCTATTGTTCCCACAAAAGGTTTCTTCCTTATGTCTTTCCACGCCCCAGTTGCCTGTCCTTTCTCAAGATATATAACGCCAATAGAGTAAAAGTCCTCCATAAACCAAGACCACAACTTTGTATATTATAACTTAATTTCCTCCTTATGATGTACGTAGAGTCGTAAGTTTTGTAGTGGGTGATGATCGGTAATGAATGAGGTAAGCTCTTGTTAGAAGTTGGAGCAAGGCATTTTTCGGTCGTTTAAGCGAGTTGGCGTGTGGAGAGGTTAAGATAGAGGACTCTCGTAGGAATAACAAGACTGACATTGATGAGAAGTCTTCGATTATAGATGTGTTTTCGTTTGCTTTCTACTTTGATCCGGATGCGATTTTTCTTGGCTATCCCAGGTATGCAGAGCATACTGAGCGATTACACCGGAACCACTAGAAGATGAAGAGTTCGTGTCTGCCGACAAAAATCTGAATTCGCCTGTAAGCTGATGGGATTGTAGACTACGCACCTGGTATGCCGAGGGTAATCTAAGGTTTCTTTCTCGGTTAGGGCTTAAGAGGGTTAAGTGGCTCTAGGAAACGCAAGGGAATGTGAGCAAAAGCAAATCACAAACTTGCACGAATGGGCCATGGTGAAGGTACAAATCTCATTAACAATCGTAGCTGGAGCCCTGCAGCTTCAGATTTTCGGAGATGCGAGAGAGTCGGAATCTAATCGGTCGTTGTAATGGAATTGGCTTATCGGCTGGGCGGTTTTGGCTTGTAACTCCCGGAGCTATCTAGTTAATCTCTGCTCCATTATCCGAGCACAACATTGTCTCAGGGGGCTGAGCTACTTGGGGAAATAGCGTGGAAGCCTTTGGGGCTGGTGCCCGCCGCACGGAAGCTGTCATTTCATCTTGTGCATGAAGGTCAAGGATAAGTGGATGATCGCATTGACGTGCGCTGAGCTCGGACGAGCAGCTTTACGGCCAGGAAAGTGGGTAAGAGAATGCCCACTGCAGTTTACGGTGTGACTAAGAAAATCAGGCGCTTCAAATTACTCCAGTCCAAATTGAGTTATCGTCGTATATAGTCGCCGGAGAAGCTAGTCTTCTCCGTGTCATGCTCTTTGAGTGCAGGGCTTGTGCCCGTCACGAATATATTTTCATCATCATCAAATTACTGCAGTCATATTTGTCGAGAATTCAAAGTCAGACCTTCTAGTGATCCGCACTCGAGAAGTTGATCTAGTCTATTTCTCAGTCAGCTCCTTGTGTTGCGTCCGTCATTGCTAGGTTAATTTCCCAAAAGATACAGGGTACTATTTCTCGCCCAACAATGTACTACATGGATAACGCTGCAGTTAATGTAACTACAATGAGTTCATTCATCTGACCGCCGTTTAGGAAAGAACAAACGTTACTTCAAGATTTTTCCAACTTTGAATGCTTTGATTAATTCTCAATCACCATGTAATGCTCTGAGACATGTTTAGATGCTACATCTTATTTCTATAGACGCGTAAATGGTATCTTTCGGAACAGGGCATAGATCAACGAAAAATATACTCGGACCAGCACCCGCCTGTGGATATTTATCAGTTGCGGTGCAACGGTGCACATGTCCATCAGTAAGACGGATGATACTCTCCCTTAGAATTCTGGCTTCACGTTGTGTTTACCGCAACAGTTCGACAATATACTATCTACTTCACATTCAAAGGACTTTACACTGCTGAGGAATCTAATTCCATCTGGATGTGGATTAAAGACTACTTGGATCTCTATGGCAAAGACAAGCTTTCTATATGCTTATATATGTGAACTTCTCATGCGTCTCGGATCTTAATTAATTGCATGAAATTAAAATGATGCAATGGCCTGACATGGAATACCATACAATAACCGAATTGTATTCCTGGTTTGGCCTCATCAGTCCGAATCATCAACATTACGCTTACCCTCTCCAGTGTGGACTAGACCCCCCGATATACTAGCAACAAAATCTTGGTACTTAAAAATCTCACCTCTTCTACCAAGTACACCTCCCATACTCTTATCGAATGCCCTTCGCGCAGTGAAGCCGTTTACTACACTATCAATTTCTTTCTCGTTTAGGTGAGCTTCCCCTGGATCAGAATTTATGTGAAGTAGATTATTCTTCAGCTCAGATAAGTCGACCTGTCCGCTATCATCTTCATCAAAAGCTGAAAAAGCTGTAAGAAGCTCTGATGCAGGCGAAAGCTCGCTGAGGATATTCGCAAGGGAATTAAGGTAAGCTGGCAATGTGGCAGTTTGAGGACCTGTTGAGGGGAAAAATTCCGACAAATCTGTTGAGTTTGCAGAGAGGCCTGTAGGATACAAGTTCAGCATTGAATTATTGTGAGGGTAGATAATGCAAACCCAGCTGAGTCAACATATCAGCAATATCTTCTTTTCCGACGTGGCCGTCGCTATCTCGATCAAGGATTTGGAATCCTTCTCTTAATTCTCGGATTTGTCCTGCCTGTAATTTAGAGAGCGCGCTGCCATCATTTGTATTTCTCGACGATAAGGAACCGCCAAGTTGCAGGCTAGTATTGATAGCCTTACCAGTTGAGGCTTGATTATTTTTCTCGAAATTGTATCTCGGTCGATAATTCAAACTGTTCATGTGCGTGTCTCCAAGCGCTGATGAAGAGCACTGAGCGAGTTGAGATGGTGTGGTTATTGTTGCCGCTGACTTAGTGGGGGATGGACTCGGTGTAGTCTGTCTAAGCGGAGAGGGGGAGGCAGGACTCTGAGGCCGCCGAAATGGTGATACCCGAGAAGATAGTGATGACTTGTGAGTATGTTCGTAGGGTTGCCCTTGGTTTGTCATGTTAACGGCTACTGTTTCGATAGTTGATTTCCTGTGAGGTTCAATTATTAATACTTCCGATAGAATGGCTGAAGTTTCCCAGGCTAATATTGGCAAGTAATTTTGACTAGATCTGATCTAGTTCGATTAAAATTTAGAATCTCGATATGATGCACAGGAATTAGTCCCATTTAACTTTATTGTTGTCTACGTGAATTACAAAGTAAACAAACGACGCAAGGATCGGTTTATGCACGGTCACTAGTCAGGGATGATCGACCAGGACACGCAGAAACAACACCATTTCTCGGCGCGAGCGGCACCTTCCAGTGATCTTACTTGTCACATTAGAGCTCACAGATACGTCTTGAACATCGACATCGCTAACGAATGTTCCTTTCACAACAATCGGAACAAAAAAATGGACAATAGACGTTACGCCCTTGAATTAACAGTAACTTTTTTCTAATCTTCCTATATCTGCAAAACTAGCTAGTTTAATTCAAAGACTGTCGAAACAATTTTATCAACTTGAGCCGGATTCAAGCTCGTTTCCAATTAACTTTTCTCCAAAATACCTCATGTTCTTGAGATCTACGTATAAAACCGAACACCAAATACCTCTCGAAGCTGCCCGAACATCAAAAACATATCAAAGCCATGACATCTTCGGCAGCCGCAAGTGGCTCCAACCACTTGTATCAAAAGAGCATTGCTATGAAAGAGACGTCACAGACGTCCGTACAACATAGTAGCTCAGCCAACGATGTAAATCCTCCATGGAGTATAACAGTTAACAATAGCGTTTCGTTGCAGCGTCGAACTTCTCTATCATCGTTTCCTTCTTCCAGGTCGCCTTCATCTATATCGAGACGGTCGCGCATATCAAAATCGCCCAATGCGCCGCTCACTGACACAGATAGAAATTCAGATCGTTATTCAGTATCAAAGCCTTCCTCGAGCGGTATTTCCTCTCAAAACTCTTCCTTGTCGGTATCTCGCAAACCTAACGTAGAATCTCATTCCACGAAAAAACTGCGCTCGCAATATCCCGTAGGAAAGTCGGAAAACCATGTCGAATATATTCTCGTAGCATCATTTGATATTGACCAAGGACCAGTAATGGAGTACCAGTACCCAGTTGCAATAACAGGTGATGAGACTATGCTTGCGGAATTGATGCTTCCCGATCAAGCCCACGTTCGGAATCAGGATTGGACAATTTTCTTTTTGCACAAAGACGCAAGCCAAGCAGAAGAAGAAACTCTTAATAAGGAAAGGAGACGTCAACGGCGACGGAAGAGAGAAAACCGAGCTTCTGGAATAATTGACTCCAATGATTGGGAATCTGAAAGTCAAGAAACAGACAATGATTCTTCTGAAACCGATTCAGACGATGTCGAATCAGAAGGAGCTGAAGGGCCGCCACTGATTTACGTGTTAAACTTAGTAAATACCAAACAGGATAGGAACGCCAAAAGGGGTGCCGTAGTGAAGGCTATGGCCATCTGCACTCGTCACCCATTTTTGCACATCTATAAAGTAGGTGGTTTCTCCCAAAAATTAGTCTAAAAACTTTAAGCCTAACTTTAAACAGCCACTTTTGCTATTAGCACTTGATGAGTATTTCAAAACACCATTTTCAATAACACTTGCTCAATTATGGGAAGCGGTCAATAGCATGGATTTGTCACTCATGCCTAAACTTGGTCACCTTGAGAAGATTCTCCTTCAGGGAAGTGACAATAAAGATCTATTTATTGAAAAGTTTGAGCAAATGATTCAGATGAGAATGTCTGAAGAGAGAGGCGAGACATCCTCTGTTTCTACAAATAAGTCCCTCGTAAAAAGTCCCGAATGTCGACCAGACCTCACACGCAATGGAACTAAAGCCCATGTGAAAGCTCACTCAATGTATTCCGTTCCTCGAGATACTCATGAATTCGAGACTAAAGTCCATTACAATGGAATTCCAATTCCAATTAAGGTGCCTGTTGCCTTGTCACCCGAAACAGTTGGGGACTTTTCTCTCATTAAACTTATTCAGACATTTGGGGAACCGCATGCTAAATCCCCCCAGCAATTTGCGCTCCACCCACATCTCACAACAAGTGGTGCATTCACTCATCCTATAATTGTTCTGGTCAATGCAATACTTACTCAGAAAAGAGTGATATTTCTAGGATACAATCGTCCATCCGGAGAAGTTGCCGAAGCAGTACTTGCAGCCTGTGCGATGTCATCTGGAGGCATTTTGAGAGGCTTTACAAGACATGCCTTCCCATATACTGATTTAAGTAAAATTGATGATCTCCTTAAAATACCTGGATTCTTGGCCGGTGTGACAAATCCAACATTCGAAAATCATCCTGAGTGGTGGGATGTGCTTTGTGATCTACCCTCAGGACGTATTAAAATCAGTCATAAAATTGAACCTGCGCCCGTAACAGAGGGATTGCTGAGCTTCAAGGCACAGAATCCATCTTACACATCGGCTATTGGTTCTGCGTCTATCTATGCATCAGATCCTAATGGTGATGTGGCTTTCATGGCTGATGTTTCTAGAAGCATTGTTGCACGTCATGGTGAAGGAGTAATACGGGCTAAATGGCATAATTGGGTAGAAAAGTTTACCAGAGTAGCAGCAGCATTTGAAGAGACAGTTTATGGCACAAGCTCACTCTGTATTGGTGCCGAAGTATGTAATCGCTTGAAGGAAAATATAACTGGCCATGGCTATGTATGGCCAGACGAGTCTTCAAAGCTCAGGGAACTTGCTGCAAGTGTTTACAGAATCGAAGGATGGAGGAATACTCGAAGCTATGCTAGTTTTAGACATGTAAGTCTAACCAGATATCTTTATTTCCATGCCTAACATGCAGTAGGATTTATCTCGGATGTACAGCCACCAGCCTTTAAAAATGCTTGATCTCAACCATCTCCATGACCGTCTGCGAATGACCAAACTTACACTTCCGGCCAGTCGTGAAATTTATCTAACCATATCCAAATATACTAACTCCTATGACGAAATATGTCAACTGCTTGCTGTAGCACCCGAGTCTCATGCTGGCCTATTTTACGTAGCTTTAGGACTATTCCATAAAGACAGAGACGTAAGGCTCAAAATAGTCGAACTATTAGAGAGAGTTAGTGATCATGTTGCGGGTCGACACTGGTGGAAATCTCTTAGCAGTTTTGAAAAGCTCGCCTTCTACCGAATCAGGCGGGAGGCTGAAAGCGAGCTGAAGTCCAGGCCTGATGACAGGAGCTATCACTCTCGCACAAGCAATGAAGTTTGATTGGAGGAAATCCTAAATAACTTTCTCTCGATCTATGTTACAACGATCACATCAGATCTCTTAGAGGTAATTGCAACGATTTTACATGAGAAAATTGTATCAAAAATTTCTAAATTTAACCAAAGGTACAACCGAACTCGAAAATCATCACCATCTAGACAATGTCTACCCTATCTTGGCTCGCCCAAAATTAGAGCCTGCTGTTCTCTTGTAGCTCACATCTCGCAGAAGCAAGTAAGCTACATGCTAAGCAAAAAGAAATCTCGCAGCATGATAAACATGATCCTTTGCGAAAGAAGCAACGAAGTAATATGAGTGGTCATAGCCCTTAGTAGGCTTAGTTATCCTCATTAATCTCAGGGTAAAAACATACCTCTTGGTACCTCAACACCAGTCCTTTGTCGTTACCACTATTTCTCGCCGCTTCACTAAAGGACTCGGGTAGCAAAAGCTTTTGCTTATAAAAGCTATCATTGGTACCGATATCAATCAAGCAATTGAATGGGCCGGCCCACCTCCTCACTAACTCGGTCGCGTCATGCTCCTTCCAGCTTTCTCGATCAAGTCCAAGATATCCAGTGAAAGCTTTTTCACCCCAGCTGCAATTTATGGGATTGCAAATAGGTGCTAAGGCAGACACACTTTTATACATGCCCGGGTTCCTCAGAAACATTGTTAATGCCCCATGGCCTCCCATACTGTGGCCAGTAATAGAGATACGAGAAGGATCTAGTTGTGAAAATTCAGCGAATAGCAGCTTGGGTAGCTCAGTTGTAATGTACGATTCCATTTTGTAGTTATTAGACCAAGGTGGGACGGTAGCGTCGACATAAAAACTTGCGCCGGTTCCAAAGTCAAAGGCGTCATCTTCGCCTTTTAAATGAAGACCTCCTAACACACTATAGTCAGTAATTGTGATTTTAAAGCGATTAGAAGGATCTACGAGGCGAGGTATCTGGGTATAAAACAGCAATTCCCATCTCGCTGGCTGCACATTGCAGAAAGCCTTTTTCAGCACAATTATCTCCGGTGCACGTGAGACCCGAAAGAAAGATAAGGACGGGAGCTTTAGTCGAGGTGTTGGCATCAGGAGGCAGGTAGAGATTCAAAGCCATCTCGCAGCCGGTAGAAGAAGATTCATGCGTAAGTTTCAGTAGCTTGCCTCCAAAAGAAGCGATAGTTGCAGTGGTTTTTAGTGACAGATTTTCCATCATTGTATTTGAAATCGGTATACCATTGACTTTTCGAGGATTTGTTAAACAGCTTTCATTTGCCAATTTCACATTGTTCAATTTCTCATGAAACCCCACTTGTCAAACTAGCCTTGTAAGGCTCACAACTCACAGCCTTGATGGCATAGCCAAGGGTCTTTTTTTGCATCAGATTTTAATTGCGTATGCAGCAGTCTAGCTATTACAAAGTATCAGAGATGGAAACCCCATAACTTCGTAGTGATACCTGCAAGTGAAATCCAGGGCATGAGTGCTTTGTGTTTGAATTGAGAAATCTATTCTGTCCTTTTTTTCCTGATATTGTGTCGACGCTAGATAGCTGTATACAATGTTAAAATCCGTCGTAAAAAAGTATCAAAGATACAATAAAGAATAGGTGTCACAATTTAAACATAGAGTATTATGCCTCGAATTTCATTTGCAAGTATCACAATAAGGTGTATCTGCTTGGGCAGAACAGTCAACTCTCCTCCATGAATACTCACCAAGAGGGAAATTTCAAAATCTACGATTATATAAGCAGGCCTTCGTTATTCCAGACCCTCACTATCTATTGGTAAATATCAAACTTAGTATCTATCAAGAAAACAATGACCCCTCATTCATTGAGGTTGTAGGGAGCATTGATCCAAGGAAATATCGAAGTGAAATTAAGTACAGAATTTGTAGTCACGCGTGTGCCAACAACGTGGCCCTCTTGATAGCCCCAATTATTTTGTGTTCTAACACTACCAAATCTTTAAAGCTATTTTAATAGTTTTAGCAGTCTTCCATAGTCATAAATTTGATTTGAATGATATTCGTAATAGGTCTATGCCTTACACCATAGATGCGTGATACGGGTGTGTGGTTCCTCACAACTCATATCGCACTTCCCAAATGACCCTATCATTTTACAGGTAATGGGCTCGGAGCTCTCATATTTTTTCCCCAGATTCATTTCCCTATCTTCACTACTAGTGCGCACAATTATTGGCTGTAATTTTCAGAATCAACCATGTCGGCTCCCAACACCCGAGCCACCCATTCGCCTGAATTCTTCACCTCGATTAAACCGTTGGCGTCACGTAACATATTCTTTTCCTGCGTCACAATCTTGAAGGGTCAGGAGGAGGGCAAGGCTGAACACATGTATGCAGTGTCCTCTGCGAACCTGGGAGTGAAATATTCTCCCAGAGCCAAGTTCAGTCTAATCTCGCAATACCGAACAAGTTGGCCCACGGGGCAGTGATTCAAATTACTCCATCACGGCGTTTTTTTGCTCCCAACAAGTTTCACTCCTGCCTAAGTCTCATCAAGTCTACGAGTACGACCAAGTACAACTTTATTCCAATGATCACACCTTTCATCGACTATTCTCTGACCTCAGCCGGTCGCCAAATACACGCCCACGCCGATATTTACGCCCGACGGAGGAAACAAAGCGTGGCGCACAAATCTGGGAGACAGTTCTTTGGGATTGACGTGAGAGGGATCAAGAAAAATTCACAAGATGATGGAAAAAAAGGATATAACCTTGAAGGGCGTAAAATTTGGAATTTTGGCAAGGAGCTTTACGAATAGATCATTGTGCGCGCCAAGACTTCACTTGCGAAAGTGCAGCTGACACTATAAACACAAGCCAACGATAGAAGGTGTTGTGGTCAGCCTGCTGGTGGTATTCTTCGGTATAGTCTCAGTAGCCTGGGTACCTACTGTTGTAATTAAGGGAGTAACATGACTGCATTACAATAAACTGTTCACGTTAGAATAATGTGCACATGCGCCATGAGATATGATTGACCTAGTTCATCACTCATTGATATGACATAGTATTTCTCAATAGATTCCTAATGGTATCTATTGGCGCTAGGATCTCTCACATCCTTCCTTTCTCGGTTAGACAAGGACAGATGTTGGAACATCCACCAGTGTGCAGAACCCCCTTATTCATGTATATAGAGGAAAGTCCTGTCACGTAGATAAATTAAGCATTATATACAATAAGAAATTCAAACAATCTCCATTTTATTCACACACTTGAGAATACTAGGAATATCCTCAAGTCCGTCCATTGATCAAAGTCCTAAGAGTATAACTCACAAACTTTACTTCTCTTGAAGCCATAGCTACCTCCTTCCATACCTTTATCCTAACGGTACGTCATTCCAGCTCAGCATAGCCTTTCAATACCTACCTCACTTGGGAAGGAGACATCTCAGATCAAACTTCGCGCGGAGAAAAATTAATGGATGATGGAGGCATGTCTCGATAACCCAGAGTTTTTGAGGCGTTCCCCTGGGTGATCATTCACGGATGAGAGTTGACTTGGGGTGAAGAAAAATTCACCATAACTTCGCAGTGGTATTTGCAAATGAAATCCGAGGCATGAGTGCTCCTCTTGTAAATTGAGTCATCTTTTCTGTACTTTTCTTTGATGTTGTGTCATAGCTAGATAGCTGCATACGCAATTAAAATCTGATGCAAAAAAATAAAACAGTCAGGAAAATTTCGATGTTTAGGCCTCCAAAACGTAGGCTATTTGGAGAAGCCTCAAGATGTACCAATTGATTGTTGAAGGATTAAAGCCATAACCAGACGCACTGTAAGAAGAATCAGAGGCTTTCGAATTAGTTTTTCATCAGACTATAAATATATACCTTCGTGTCATAGGACCTCAGATAATTCGACACATCATCCATTTAAAGTCCCTCATCCAATATGGCTCCAACTTAAATCTGAATATAAGACAGACTCAAGTTTCTCCTTAGTGTTCCAATTGGGAAGAGTAATGGATATCACAAACACCGTTGAAAATAACCAGTCCATATCCTCTCAGGTCAAACTATTCGAAGCTAAATGGCTAACTTATATAAGCTAGCGGGCGACTCCACTGTTGATTATTGCAGTGAGCCCGCCAGATATTTTTCGAAGAACAAGGCAAAAAGAGACTTTCTTCTTGGAATGCTAAGTTGACATCACAAGAATTTTTTCGACAACTTGATCGCCAGAGACAATCTCTCATACAATCAGGTAAAACAACACCATTATGATATAGACTTTAAAGCACCAGGACATATTTCAGCTTATCTTACAGGTAACTTTATGGAGAACCCTCGCAAACCAATTTTTCGAACAAATGATAAGGCTACTAAGCCAAGGATTTCCACATACTGCTAAAAATACTTTTCTATGAGGGCAAATGGTCATACTAGTCATAGATGCCACAAGATGAAAATTACTAGAAACAAGAATAAATCTGATCAGTGGAGTGAAAATCCCTCAGAAACTGCACACTTGGCTACTGCGTCAAATACTGAGGGTAGCAAAACCCTTTCCACCTAAACATATGCGCAACAGCCCACATGCGTTCCTCTTCAGATAGTTTCAAACCCCTCGGACTATGCTCCGGAATTGTAATGACAAATCTGGTTTAGGATATACCACCTTATGAGAAAAGAGTATGGTATAACATTGCGTGATGGGCAAACTTCCTCTATTTTCCCAGGATCTATGTTGTAATATTGGAACAAACTTAAACCCAATTGAATTTTGCTATAAATAAAATAATTTCACTACAGAATAGTGATGTGTCTTACTAAAAAATACAGTAACTCCTTCTCAGAAGCTAAATCTAATTGTATTCTCACTGCAATAACAATGTCTTAGCGCAGGCTGCATCTGCTAGCAGATGTGGCGGCTAGTAAGCCGGTAGATTGCCTGTAGCCTGTGCTATTCATCACATGCATGCTCATTACCTCAGCGCTAAGATACGCTGGTATTGAAAGTCTGGTACTGCCCGTGCACAAAACCTTGTTGGTAACTAGCCCACATTTTAGTAATGGGAGCCGGACTAGAGGACAGAGACTAGTTTTGGAAAATTGTGATCATGTATATAAATAGGGTGTTGAGTGTAGCATTAGGCTTGTTCTTTAGTTAGTAAATAAACTTACCTTTCAACGTACAAACGCCCAAGCTTTATTTATTGGAACTGTTACACCAAACAAAAATTGAAGGAATTTTCGAGGTAAATTGGCCTGGTTGATATTAGTAGTTGACTTAAGAATATGAGAAATACTCATTTAGAAGATGTCAATATATTATTTCCAAACCAATGATTGATCAGCCACTATATATGTCTGAGTCTTGCAGTGCACTTCTCATTGATACTAGCTGTGGGGTGTGTTACGGTTTGCTTTGTTAATGTTTTTTATAGACGTGCATGGTGATGCAGGGGCTAGAACTGGAATATGTGGCATTAGTGTCTCGGAATTTAGACGTGGTAATATGGAGACATCAGGTAGAGAATAGAACAGCGTAATAGACAAACAAACAATTCTATCCACTGATCATCAATGCTATCAAGCCCATTTTTAATTCTTGAATAGGACACAACAGGCTTAACTATCTAGATCCAAGGTAACAAGATACAGTGCCTCTAGGTTGGAAAAGGTAAAACTTCAAACTGTGACGTCCCGTCCCTGAGAGCCACAAAGATAGATGGATATACCCCAGGCATTTCATATTGTATTAGGGAGGATTATTAGCTGCTTGTCATCAAGGGAGGTTTACTGTTTATCTATTGTTATTTGCTAGGGTTGTACTTTTAGCTTAGCAGTTGTTGGACTGAGGAGCCAAGAACAGTTGTAGATTAGAGGGCAGCACACCCAGACTTTCATTGTTACCTTTAAATCTTATGCTTTTAGGATTCACTTCCGAGCCCTTCTTCAACTTGATCGCCTAGGTGTCACATTATTTAAAGGTCACCACACTGCCTGAGAAGGCATTTATTAATATCCCACCTCTTCATGAACTGACTTCGTGTCAACCCCTTGACAAACCTCGCGGCCAGTAGCTTCGTCCGGCAACCTTTCAGCTTGATAGCTTGCCCATACCATTATTAGCCAAGATGAATCGAACTCCTCCAAAAGTGCGTGAATCTGCAGTTGGACTGCCTATATTGAGCCAGTTACATCTTAAAGAACGGACATTGGAGTCAAAGA